GTATGTGTGTCTTAATAGTATGAACAATTGTTAACTCATCAATATGATCCTATAATAATTTATGTTGAGAGCAAATCTATTTCTTGCACTGTTGATGATTTTTTCAATATAATAAGACACAAAGAATATGTTAAAAAAAAAAAATTTTTTTTTTTTTCTTCTTCCTTTGGGAAATAGGTGAGATAGTTGCAGAAGCATTAGGAGGTAGCTAGCCAACTCCGTACCCTAAGGGAGACATAAGAAAACCTTGACATAACCTATTTTTAACCATGCCTCTGGCAATTCTGCATTCAAGTTTATAGGTGAACATGTCAGGTAGTACATAGAAAAAGCCAAAGACACACAGTATTAATCATAATTCTGTCCAAGCCCATTTTATTTTTTCAGCATTTGTGATTTAAAATCTCATGACATTTCTTCAAGGTGAAATTCTTCTACCGGACTTTTCAACAGTGTAAGACTACATTTATCTAAATTAAATATTGCTTACAGTAAAGCTTTCTAATATTTCATGAGACAACCAATAAACTCAATGCACTTCATATTAAAATAATTTAAGTTTGTATTCAGCTAAAGAAGCTTTAGTGACTAGCAATACACTATTAAATACAGAATTTATATAAGACTCTCTTAGTAGTGCTGGGTAAGAACATTGTTCCGTACGTGTATATGAACGTCATAATTATTTTACAACCCCATCTTTAGTTCTTTCAGATATAGTAAATTCAATTGACCATGAAATGAAATTTCATAGTCAAAATGCCTCCTTTACATTTTTTTATTGCAGCAATAAACTTTTTATAGCTCCGAGGCACGGTAATTCATGAAATGCCTAATTTAAAGATGAATTCTAATATTATTAATAAATATTTACCAGTTTAATAAAGTGCACATTTTTCACATAAAATGTAATATAAAGTTTTCATTTTCTATTTTTAAAATACAGATTAACTGCCGGAAAATTTGACTACTAAAGAGAGCTATATGAGTTCAGGGGAAACCTATGCAAGGATGCTCTGTTTATGTTTTTAAACATCCTGAAGCTACTCGGCATTTACGAGCAGAGTAGAAAAAAACTATTGACTAAAATATAATGTCAGGGGCCACTCCATCTCACAGGATAAAACAAATCCAGCAGTCCTGGGGAAGCATCTGACACACAGCATCTGAGCCCTGTGTGGCTCCTCCATATCAAATCACACAATTCCTCATCAAGTCTGCAGCAAAACTTCAAAGTTCCCAATCCACAGCTTTGAACTGTCAATGATACTAGAAAATACCACTGGACTACTGGGATAAGAATGCACGAGCATCTCTGGATCTTCTCTTTGACCTATATGGGAACAAATTCTCACCACTGAAGTCAAGGTGAATTATGCCATTAATTTCTACATTGGGCAGTCTAGAAGAAAAGGAAAAAGATGGAAAGCCTCTAATCCAGTGCAAGAAAAGGTGAGAGAAAAGAGAGAGACCATGAGGCCTCTCCTGCTTGGACCTGGTAAGGTGACAGCATTTACTCATGGAAGAATCACGTTCAGTGAATGGATGGAAAATTAAAAGGCAAAACTGTGTCAAGGTTACAAATCGCTTGGTAACATTGAGGGGATACTCACATACGTAACAGAACACTGATCCAGCCCCATGCCACCTATTACATATTTCTGAGCAAGTTCCATTTTATTCAGCTTACAAACTCTCCATTACTTCAGGTTTCAGGCACAACATCCCGGACTCGGATGTTGTTATTAATCTGATCATTCTTCCACTCAGTGTGCCAGGGCGTACAAAATCCCAGGCAAAACGGGATCTGAAAAGAACGATCATATCCTTCGAGATCTGTTTTAGTCAGTCCCTGCTTTGTACCTAGGAAACAATTGAATTCTCTGCCTCCTAAGCAGTGAGAAGTTTGTTCTAAATTCTATATTATTGCTAGCTGCTCTTGACGACCTCCAAGGAAATATTAAAATTTGCAAAGAAGCCAGCAGCCTGGAGAATTCCAGAGAAATATTTGCTCCGTGTTGATCTGTAAATCTTTAATTAATTTTTGCTTGCCATAATAATAATAAAGTAAAAGATTTACATAAAATCATAACATGACAACACAATGACCTTTATTACAGTCCAGCAGTAAATCTGCATTTTCACTACATCAAGTTTAGCAAAAGGTCCTTTGCAAAGCAGCTAATCAGAAAAAATACAGTTGATGTAAAATATCTGTTCAAGCTAAATATTCATTCTGTCTTCCACATGCAATACAGAAACTAATTCTAATTGTAACCATGGAGTTTAAAATGCTAAGTATGATAAAGTGACTCACAGAGGCATCTCATCACTGCAAGTATGAATGTTACTGCATAAGGCTGAGAGAAACCCCAGCTGGGAGATCCCCTGAAGCTGAGTGAAAAACACAAGAAGAAAGTGGACACTGGCCCATATTCCCTCCCACTAAGATCAGCCTGAGTATAGATTCTGGAGGTTCTAATTAACACGATGATCACTGGAGTTAGACTAACAGTCCCTGTCACTCAGCCCTTCCCCACGCCAGGTGTGCCCTTCCCCATTCCAGAAGGCTCGGAAACAGTCCAGGAACTGGAGAACAGGCCCAAACTGCCCCAGTCCCTCTGGCCAACAAGAGCACTGGACAGAACAAAATCTTTTTGTGGCTCTAATTCTGAGTACGGTCAAGGTAATACATCCTTATCACTTCTATTATGCGTTTAAAAATAAACCAAAATAAAATCCATTTCCATTTATAAAGACTTAGCCCATGGAAGAGAGAGAATATAGGGAAGTAATTTTTTTATTGCTAGCATACTGTGTCTGGCTCCCTTTCTGAGATACTCTCAATACTGCACTTTCAAACTCTGCTGATGGCTGTCAGGTGGGGGTCCTATACTTGAAATACAGACAAGCAATCCCTTCTAAATGCTGTAGTTCACCCTGGACAGCCCAATGGCCTTTCAACTCTCAATGCCAGTATCAACTGTGCAACACATTTTTGAACTTTTGCAGCACTTGGAATGCGCATGATGCCAATGTATATGGGCATTCCAAAAATTTAAATTCTGTGTTTATAAAGCCTGACTGCTTCTTCACAGGAGATCTGTTCACACACAGAACAGCATCGCACTGTACATTAACAACCGTGTTTATCTTCCTGCATTCACCAATATTAAACCCTTAACCATTTGCCTTAGGGAACTGAATAATGGCAGATCCTTGTCTGCTGTGCAACACCGACAACACGTGTCACCATTCACGCAGGGCTCGCCTGCACATGGTGCACAACACTGGCAAATGTTTGGTCAGGCTACAACACCAAGAAACCATACAGAGCTTCTGAGGGATCCATTAAAACCAATAAATGACACAAATCCGCATTACTGTGCTTTGACAGACGACATCAGGCAACAGAAGCACACAAAGAATCAGACCTACCATATGCAATCCATTGCTGTGGATGATGCCATCTTGCTCCACGAGATTTCGGGATATGGTGATGGAGGGAAGATCCAAGCTCTGGGGGGGAAACTGAGGCGTAAATTCATTTCCTTGTGCAGACAGCTGGTCACCAAGGCCCTGAAAGGGCAGCAATATATCTGCCATCCCCAGGGCAGGGTCTGACTCGGGTGGGGGGGTAATGGGTGGGATTTCAAACTCCTCATCCCCAAGGCTCGGCGTATGGAAAGTCTGCTACAAAAGGACAGGACAAGGCAAACCATGTTAGGGCACGCTGCTCTCAGCAATCACAAATCTTGCAGCCCAAATCTTGCTTTGTTCTCAAATGCAAACCCTGTATGCAACAAAATTTTAGTTTCATACACTGAAGAGGTTTGTGGATCATTCTGATTAAAGATTTAAGTCTCATTATCATATGGCTTTAATGGAGTATCAGTATTAACAGTTTTTTAATGCCTACTTAATTAGTAACATCTGTCTTTGTTGTTAGTCTGTATATCAGCTACATTGAATTTGGCTGTATAACAAATTGCCACTTTATTGATGTTAGTAAAATAGCACAAACAGCTTACGTTACCCTCATGCTTCATAAAATACTGACAATTTTGTAGCACACACACACAACATTAACTCAGTGCTGACCATTTCGCATCTTTTGCTTCCTTTTTAGCCACTAGTAAACATAAAATATGATAATTCTGGTCTTTATTTCTTTTCCATCCCAAAGGCACAATGGACCCTTTTAAATAAGGGTTGTAATTTGGAGGATAGACACGTAGGAAAGCTTCCAGTGCTTTCTGAAGCAAGCCAGCTTTGTTTGAACAGTAGGTTTGTTACAAACTGAACACCTGTTAAGATGCCTTGAGCAAAACATTTACTGCCAGTTATCTTCAGGGTTTGTGCGTGTTTGTACGTGTGCATGTGGCTGTCAAAGATAATCTTAATTCAAGTAGAGTCCGTATCTGGCTTCAGCATTGCTGACTTTTATTTGGGAAACAAATGAGCTATGCTTATTCAAATTTCTTGCAAGTTAAATGAACTTTCATATATTATTTCAGGTCCACTGCTGTTTAATAATAGAAATTCAGTGCTTGAAATTAGGCCATTTTAAATGTACCCAAATCAGGACTGTCTTGATCAAATTGGGCAGTTGGCAATACTGAAATAGGCACTCTTGTCTTGCTCTGGACATGCAAGGCTGCTCGGGGATTGGTTTGTTTGCATTAGTTCAGGATTTGAGCTGGGGGGGGCGGAATTGTTTTATGTATTATTTACATTGTTTGAAAGAGTGACTTAATGCCAGTTAATTTAAAAATTATATGTTCAGTGAAAGATCTCATTAACTGCTGCAAGTTGTCATCCTTCAAACTGTTAATGATGATATAAATTAATAACCGCTTGAGAGAAGATGGAAACTGAAACACAAGGAAAACCTTTGCTTGCATATAGAACCTGTCAGCTGTCATTATTGGTCTCACACCAGAAATGATGAGGTCCCAGATTGCTGCAGTCTGCAGCACCATCAGAGTCTGCTGAGACTCTCGACCCATCTTGCTCAAACTGCAAGACTGCAACTTAATTCTGGATGGGAAAGCTGGGCCTGGATTAGGAAGATGTTTGACTTCCCTGCTGCTATACTACAAAAGGTGTGAATTTTCCTTCCTGCAGCCCCCATAGCTCACAAACACAAAGGATGGATTGGCCAGGAGAAGTGGTTGGCTAATGAACATAACCCTATGGCTGCATTTGCAGTTATTTTGGCACTAATGTGGTCTAGTAACAGATGCAACTGTAATTTGTGACTCATTTGCTACCCCATTACTGCTTAATGAAATCTAACATATCACATTAACAATACGGATAAACACTCATTCTTGATATGTGGCATTTGGCTGTTTTCATTACCACTGTAATTAACACTTGAAATATTATTTCAATAAATATTTAAGGTGTTTTAAAATGGGTCATAGTAATCATGACATAGAGACAGAAAACATAAAGCAAACGTGTGGCTTCTAAGCCTGAATGTGCTCTATGATTACACTCTTAAGGCATTATTTGCAGGAATAAAATGGGCTTCTAGCTCAGCAGTGCTTGGGTCCAAAATGATAGTGAGAAAGCTACATTCACGTTAATGTAAACCCACTATAATTAAATATATTGTAATGCAGTAATTGCAAAGATAGGTTCCTGCTTTCACGCAAACACTAACAATCTAACAATCATATTTTTATTCCTTGTTCAAGCAAAAGGGTTCAGTGAAATCAGTATTATTATAGTGCATTTGAACTGCTCTTTACTTGACATATTTGTGAGATAGTAGTAATTATAAGAACTGGATCTTTTTTCCCCATCTAACAGAGTAACTCTAGGACAGCTGTATAAATACATAACACAGCTAGATAATAATACAGTATTTTCCTTAGAAAAACAGCATTCATCTTAATGCTTATAACTTACTACAAGTGGGAGAGTAAATCGATGAACACTGTAATGTTTTTTAAATGTGAATTTAATACTCACAATATAACTTGTCCAAATATGTACATATCTTTAAAAAAGAACAAACAAAAAAACCAACCAACCAACCAAAAAACCCCAAACAAACAAACAAAACAAAAAAAAAAAAAAAAAAAAAAAAACAAAAAAAAAAAACACAACAAAACACAAATATATAACAGTCCTACGACTGAGGATAAAATAGGAAAAATCTAAGAAGAACGACAGACCTTTGGTGAAGTAGTCTTAAATCCAAATCACTGGGCTATTCAGCCTGCAAAAGGAGCCTGAATAGTACACAATTTGGGATTGCAGAAAGGTGCTGTTATGACCAAAAGACGGTACACTATTTCTGGGATTTATCTTACCCATCACATTTTTTAAAGTTATTAACTTTTCAAATATTTGTATATTACAGAATTTAAAAAAAAAAAAAAAAAAAAAGTGTGCATGGTTAAATGCCATCTGTACTGAAATGTTCAAAACATTTGTTCCTTTTGATAAAAATGCAAATCTGGAGAACTGTTGTATCAACATATAACAGCCAATGTCTGACACGGTGAATTATCACAGCTGGAATTAAATTGTCTCTGAACAGCTGCTGGCAGCAGAGCTTTCATCAATGTTTGATTCAAATGTAGGAAAGAAATTCTACAGAAAGAAACATCATGTTGTCATTACAGATGGGGTTTGTGTTCATTATCACAAATAACACTGGAGCTAGTGCCAAACAATATTCCCATATCTAAGCAGTCTTGCTGGGTAAAAAGAGATGGTGACGATTGTATAAATGATTCATAAAATACGACTCTTTAATTCTAACCTTCATATTTACTGTTACACCTTTCTGCTTATTTTCTCTGAGATCACTCTTAAAAAGTGCATAAGAATACCTGTGACTGAATTACCACTTAAAACATGTAAAATCAAGGCTGGCCAGTTTTCGAACCTTTCCTCATTTATGCCAGGCACCCTACACAAACACTCACTTCTTCTTCTCCGTATTCCTATGCACACTACTAGATGGAGCATCTTGCACTTCCCATCCATCCCTCTCGAATAACAGCTCTGGGTTTCTAGTGACGAGCAAAAGGTGTTTCTGTCTGGAGTTGGAGTCAGTATTAGCATGCTGACAGTCTATTAACTGGCTGTAAGGCAGCCCAGATGTAACAAATACAGGGAGACTGCAGCTGCCACACCTTTCTCCTGTTTCTATTCTCAAAGGCAGTGATCAAATACATCACCTCCACAACCCAGCCAGCCTCCACCAGGCCAGCCCCTGCATTTCTTCTTGATCCTGGTCAAATGTTTCCTTCACACAGCACATTCACTTCAGGCAACAAAGTTGGTTTGAGTTTTCCAAGTTCTATAAGCATTAAGAACACAAATGAAAATGTATCTATAACAGAAATGAGCACATTAGCTAGTAAAGACTATCGCTAAGCTTGCTTTCAAAATGTACATCTTTTTTGCTTTTCATTTGTTTCCTTCTGTTTATAATTTTTTTTCATACATAAAGCAGATTTGTTTCTATTGACATGCTATATAAATAACAGCCTTATGGACAGCTAAATCGACCAGTAACTGAGAGCTGTCAGGTTATTTTGTTTCTCATTAAAACCTTTACTTTGTGCTCCATAAAACACACAGAATTTCGGCACTTCACTCTTCACCCATTCAAAGTCCGTAAAATTATTGCAGCAAACAGCAGAATATGAGCACAGATAAAAAAAGCAAAACATCTACCTCATTTGCAGCAAGAAATGCGTTGTTTGCCTCTGCCATGTTCATGTAGTTGTTATTGTTTCCAAACTGAAAGAAAAATAAATATTAGGCTTTTAATGCATGGCATGATAAACTTTTCTTTACCTTATCTTTGGCATAGAAAAAGCTGGGGAAAAAACAAACAACAAAACAAAAAAGAAAACCCGAAACAGATAAGATGCAATTTTGCAGATGTTCTTTGAAGTCAGAACTAGATTGGATTCAACATTATTAGTATTATTACATATTCTGCATCCCCAGTGTGTATATGGAAGATATCCAATTGTACATCTCTTCAGCTTTCTTTGTCCATGTAGCAAAGCCACTCCACAGACCTAGAGGTGACTTTGGAAATTAATTGTCCATTAGAAAGAGACTGTTCTTCAGAAAAGACATTTCAACTCTACTATATCTTTCCTGACACGCATTAGAATATTTTTGCAGATGATTCTGATCTGGAGGACTGCTGCAGCTAAAAGTAGCTGGCATATGACTATTCCAAGTAGACCTGTTTTTAAATAGCTGAAGGTCTATAAGGGAAAGAATGAGAATCTGCAGCGTTGTTCTTAAAAATCCCATTCTTTCCACAATATTAAAAAGCCAAACAATCCCCTTTTGTCTATCCTTCATTCCAGCTGAGCTCCCACACCCCCAGTGAACATATTAACACCAGAAGATCTTGCAAACTGGAGAAAATGTATCACACTGAGGCCTTGAGATTTACCCAGGGTGGGGTGGGCTCAGGGCCCTTGTGCTTCCACTGAGATGCAACTCCTTTTGCACACGAGAGATCTGAAAGGATCCTCTTGGATGCCTTCGAGTCATATCCTCCAAATTCTCAAGTATGAACATTTGTTGAAGGAGAGAAGTACGTTTTCTTTTACATACTGAGCACAAGAAAGAGATTATCAGCATTTGGTTCATTGGCACGTAGTGTGCCTTATTCCCTTCAATGCAACTTCCAAAAGACAGGTAGTCTGGTACCTATTTCTCATGTGTTCCAGAGCAGGCAAGTGTCTGGAGCCCTTGCTTCAAGGAACAGATACCATACCTGTCATGCAGCTACCACTCAAACACAAAATGACAGGCTTTCTCATTTTCACGTTTCTATTATTATCAGACACAGCACACACTGCAAAGTAAGAGTATCAAATAAAAGTCCCTGTGCTGCCCCTGCAATGCCCGGTCACATCACTGCTGCTTAAGCCATCCTACGCATTCTTTCCTTATTTCTTTCCTTTTCTTTGCTTCTGTAAAGCAAGTTTGTTTGTTTGTTTGTTTTCAGGAAGGCTTTGTTCTATCTTGCCAGATCTCAGTCGACCTGCTCCCCCCAAAACCACAACAGCAAATACCATTGCTAACACCATGAGCTCTGCAACAGGTGCCTGAGGATGGATAACTATGTGCTTGCACAGACAGTTCTTCCCAAGCAAGGAACTCTGTTGTGCCTTCAGAGCAGCTGAACCTGTCCTGAAAGGAAAACAAACTTTGCTCCATTTCAGTTCATCTCTGCAGTCCTTGGAGCCTGACTTTTTTAGCAGGGAAGTGTTTCTGAGCTTGACACCCTCCCTCTCCATTTCCTCCAGCATCCTAGAGCAGTAGAGAGGCCAGAATGATCCTTTCAAGAAAGGCTCTTTCCCTGAAAACTCCAAATCCATTTCTGAAACAAAAAGATTAAAAGTTAAAAGCAGATAAAAAAAGAGAAGAGGAGGAAACTATAGTGACAGAGGATGAAAAAAGGAAGATGGAAACAAAGAATAGGAGCCTTGCGTACCTGGTTGGCAAAACAGGAGATCAACAAAATCAGAGGACAATCATGAAGTAATATGAGATGAGATTTCTCATTCTGAAGTATGAAATTCCATTTGTGTACTTAACATGCTGAATCTTTCAACCTATAACACATGTTAAGCAACAGAGGCCTTAACACAATATGTAGGCTGCCTCATAGCTATTAAAACTCTGTTATCCCCAGCTATGCAGATACTCAAGCAATGTCATCCATTTTTTAAAAGCCCAGATGTCACCCATCTTTGGAGATTAAAAAATTCAAATAAAATTTCACATTCAAATTACTGTTTTGGCACATAAGGATATGTTTGTGTGGATTTGTTGCACAAAGACATAGTGTTTCAGCTCAACAGCGGGATCAACAGGACACTTTTTTTCATGTCAGTTAGTGGCAAACTAAGAAGGATTTACATAAAAAACTCAAATGGCTCCAATAGAGTTGTTCTTTCTACAGTAACAAAAAAAAAAAAAATTAAAAATCGAGTTTTCAAATTATCTCTAAGTGCAAATGTACAATAGACAAGTATAGCTCTGACATTGGATAAATAAGTGGGAACAAACCCTATCCTATTTTATTGATTTTAGCATCCTAGGGGCTCCAGTGCCCCAAAATGGAAATGTAGCTGCCTTCTACCCTGAAAAGTAAAATTCTACATTGTTGTGATTTTCATGTGTTCCTCACACCACAGCTACTGCTGTTCTGATTGCCAAGTGTTTTTCTTCCTTTTTGCTTTATTCAAGTAAAACAAAGGAGAAGGTGACAACAGAGTTCTCCATTTTATTAAGACTGCGGAAGCAAACGATGTAACAAGGAACATCTAAGCTAACAGTAACAAGTACACATCCTTAGATTCATTCTGTTCTTGGGCTACAAGATTTAAGACCCCACTGTATATGACTCAGGCACTGACGTCAGAACCTGGCATATTTAGGATTCTATTAGTATGTATCATAACTAATATTATATAAATGTATTTTTTGTCTCTGAATTAGAAACCCATTGAAGGCGCACAACAATTATCAGTGAGTATTTCTAAGACTAAAATTCCTTATTATCTAATGTTACCTATAACAACAAAAGAAAATAAAATGGTTATTATCTTAAGGACCTAAACAATTCAAAAAACAAATTAAGCTTAAAGTGAAATAAGAACTGGGTTAGAAATCCTCTTCTGAACAGTTAGTCTGCGAATGTAATTACTGAAGAAACTACAGCTAATCAGCTGTGAATTGTATCCATTAATTAGTATTTGCCCTGGAGAAATGAGAAAAATCAGTAACAATGTTAACACTGCAATGCACTGATGAGTACTGAAACACAGGGCCCTCAGCATTTAGTCAAGCAGGTGGCTCCAATGGTCCAAGTAATTTAAAAAGCTCTCACCTGAAGTGCAGAGCTGGAATTACAAAGCACTTCTTGCATATCTTTGTATCTATATAAGGCTATAATTAATGACTTTTAATTTAGAAACACTTTGTGATCAACTGGGAACAGTTATAAATCATTCTAAATAGAACAAGGGGTTCTTGTCTATTTTAGTAAAATAATTTTGGAAAGATGTTTTTTGTGAAATGACTCTTGTTGCAGCCAATGCTCTTCTCCATTTATTTTCTACAGCGCCCCTTCCGCAGACCCCCCACAAACATCTCCAAGCACTGCTACATTTGGCAGCACACTGACAACGAGATCCAGCACTTCTGTTTGTTCAGGGATGCTCCTGTGGGGTCCCACCTGTCGGGTTTCCCTGGGACAGAAAGACAGTCAGATGCAGCACCTGGTCCAGCGATCAATTTGGTTTGTCCTGGCATTGGGATGATTTGCAAATGACATAGTCATAGCAAGTAGCAAGGTTTTGCATAAACTTTTGCATCTAAAGATGTCAGAGTATCCTTTCTCTGTAACTTTGAAAGAACACAACCTTTTCAGCTTCCTTTGGCAACACATACCGTTGCATTGCAAACTACTATTTGTTTCCTTTGATTTCAGAAGTTCAACAAACTCTGTCTTAAGTTTTGATAAAGGTTTTAAGCGCCTGTACCACAATCTACTGCCACCAAAGGAAACCACATGCATATGCTGCTTTCATGAAATGGATTGCAAACAACCAAAACCTCTTCTGAACTTGTTGGGAATCACAACTTCATGCAAATCACTGCATTAAAACTATGACAGTTCGGTCCCTTATGCTTTTATGTTGCAGGGGCACTTGCACCTTGGCCCTACTTGAAAACTCTGAGAACCAACATGAAGACTGTACAGAGAGAGACTGGATGTTTGAATACTAATACTTCATATAGAGAATGTAAAGAAAACTGATTATTTCTGAAACAGCTTGTTGAAACTCTTCTCTTAACTTTGACTACCAAACCTGAAGCCAAACATCCATCCTTATTCATCTTCTCTAGGAAGGGCATATATGTGCAAGGCTAAGGCAAATTCATGTCCTCTATTCCTTCCTCAGGGCATGGCTAAATGAACACCAAATCAACTCCTGCCCAGGGCTGGGGATATAAAAATTGTATCCCTTCCCCACTCTTACAAACTGCACGTTTTCATAGACCAAACCTTCTAGGCCAGACATTAGGATACCTGTTTGCAAACCAAGGGATTTGAAGCCACTTTGATTCAGCACAGCACAGTGCTACCTGGGCTTACAAGCTACCCTCTGCACTCACCACAGCTTCAAAAACGGTTGGCTATGAAAGCCGAGGCTCATAAATGGTTGTTTTAAGAAAAAAAGTCCAATATGATGAATGTCACAGAAAACCTTGGGAGTTTGGGGTAAAAATCTGTGATTAAATGCTTACAGAGTTGGAATTTCTAATGGAAAAAAAAGCTTCAGAAAATCTCCAAGGTTAGATAGCGGCTACTGTCTGGGCTCTTCGCTTGCAACCACAGCAAGAAATAAAACAAGCAAAAGAGAATTTTACATTAATTTTACATTACAAAGTAATATTATAAAAAACATGAAAAGTAAAGACAATAATTAATTTGGAAGGTTTTATGGACACACAGAACAACATTTTAAACCTATAAAAGTCAATGGGAGTTTTGTTACCAATTTTAATGGAGAAATCATTTTACTTACAAATTCAGTCACTAGTATTTACTACAACTTCCTACATTTTTGTCTTTAATCAACTCAATCATGGTGCAACTCATGTGACTAATATTAGAACTCACACTCACTACTCATTTCCTAAAAAGTGCAAATTCAGAAATATGTAAGCAACTTAAAACCAGACATAGAGGAGGCCAGTTTTTTATCTGAGCATCTCAATGGAACAAAAATGAATTTCAAAAATCTATTTTTTTCTGCTCAACAATAAAATTAGATTCATCAGGCAAACACATTAGATTTTCTAAGTAATTATTTTTATCCTCCTGCTGCTTAATTTAATAGTGCCACCACAAGGAAGAAGAAAACATTGGAAGGGTTACTGTTCCTACACATAATACCACCAAAAACATGGAATGTGAATAAATGTCTGAAATGAAACATTAAAATAAAATATATCCAGAAAACATTTTATCATCTTCTCATAACTAATCCAGAGACTTATGTTTTGTTTAAAAGCAATGACTGCAATTCTGTACTCAAAGACCACATATGATCTATCTGAGAATAAATACAAACCCTTACTGCAAAACAGAATTCAGGCTTAGTTATCATGATACTAATAGTCCTTTCATAATTATTAGTTAATGTTCAGTCAAAATACACATTTAACGTTTCTTGGATAATATCTCCAGGCAAAATTCTCACTGGCTTGAAGCTGAACCACTGCCTGCAGAACTAGTTCTAAACTAGTTCTGTCACAGCACTATGTCATCTGCCTGCATATGGATTTTAGATAGTTACACAACCAAATTCTGTCATTTCTGATGCCAATTTATTGCTTATGGAAATTGGCAGCTTCAATTGATCGCATTTCCAGTATTTCTGCAATAAAATTAATAAAATCATTCTTTTATGATGTAAGCATGCTCACTATTTTATATAGAATAATATCTATTTGCACAAATATATATTATGGCAAGGATCTCAGTTCTATCTTCATATTTGCCAAATTAATTCCTCTGAGGTTACACTATCCTTATGAGTAAAAAGAAAGATAACGATCTCAAAAGATGTAATTACAGACCAAAACTAAATTACTTTGCAGGTCTAAGAACTGTATCTTAATAATTTCACCGGAGAACATCTTCACTGGATTTGGGCAGATTTGATTTTGCTGCCTGACCAATAATTACAGCTCCGGCAAATACAATGTCTGATAAGGACATCAATTAAGAATGAGCATTGTGTTATTTAAAAAAAAAAAAAAAAATTCATCATGTTCACAGCCTGTCTGACTGAATGAAATGCCAAATTAAATTAATGGAGATTGCTAAGTCTAGCTGGCTGGTGGGGAACCATGCAGAAAGTGGGACAGCATAGACAATAAACTGTCTGTAATTAAAAGATGAGAAGCTGGACTAATGCTACTTCAGCCTGATTACTCCAAACAAAACAATATACACTGAAATTATTCTGGCAACTGAAGTAGATGGAGTGGGAAGAGGTTTTGGAGAGGGTTTTCTTTTTTTTTTTTTTTTTCTTTTTTAATAGTATCAACTATCACCATTTATGAACAGCAGTGACCTCACCAGATGTATTAAATTAAATATTAGTTTTTTCTCATCAGGAAAAACAATTTATTTTCTCAATGAGCGTAAAAATAACAGCTGAGAATTCTCCAATCATTTCTGTTTTAGATGGATATCCAGCTAATCTCTGTAGAGACTTTACTGTTAAGGATGATGTGTTCATAGCAGGAGCAGAGTGTTCTTTTCTGGAAAATCAAGTCCCTTCATGACAGTTTCAA